CCTCTGCAAAAGGAGGATGGGGAAAGGAACTGCGCAATAGCTCTTGGATGTGGCTGCGCCTGGAGAGTGGTGGCTCTAATTGAGACAGGACAGGACACAAGGGTGTCAAGGTATAGGCCCAAGCGTACAAACTTTGATAGTAGGTGGAGGGCTTCCAAGGTTCTAGATAGAGGTTAGGAGCCAACATGGAAACTGGGTGAGACTTACTTATGGGGATGAACACAAGTAAGGGAAGTGATTTCTGGGCTGTTTGAGAGGTGAAACAGTTTTAGTGGGCTTGGGGTAGAGCCCGAGTGTCATTGGTGGGATCTCTGGGGCCTGGGCTGGGGAGAGGAATGAAGGTATCATCTGCAGTGACACAGAATGGGTGGCCATTCCTTCCACCACCCTGTGCTCACGGTTTCTATCTTCTCTGACTTCTTCCCTGCCCATTTTCTCGCCTCTGTTTCTCCCTCCATCTCTCTTTCGTTTCCATGTCCCTCTCCCCTCTCCCCACTCTTCCCATTCCTTTCTCTCTCCAGTTGTCTCCCCCTCCTCTTACCCTTTCTCTCTTCTCTTCTTCCTTTCCAATCTGGTTCTGAAAATCTGGCAAGGCGAGGAGAAGCTTGCTCTCAGAGCCATGTTGTGAGGGACCCATTTGTGTATTTGCGGTTTACCTACCTGTAGAAAATTTATACCCCAAATCTCCCAGTGCTGCAGGCAAATGGTTTTTAATTCAGCTCCACAAATATTGACTGTGTTCAGGCTAACTGAGTGTACTTTGTACTAGAGGTGTCGGAGAGATGCAAATGGGAAAACCCAGTCCTTGGAGGAGCCAGTGGGGGGGGGGCAGCCCATGTTGGTATGAGACACATTCACCGTCTTCCTGGAAGATTCTGAAGGGCTCTCTGTCTTGCATGTACTCTGGGTCCATTTCTCGCTCCAACCAAGTGCAGAAAGGGGCATTGTGCCAGTTTTGGAAGATCCAAACAGGACAGTACATTGTGAGCAGAATCTACAGGCATGAGGCTGAGCTCAGCCTGTGCCGACATCTGTCTGTTCGCTGCTCACAAAAGGCGTTAGCTGGAGCTGTGGACTTTTGCATCTATTACTTTCTTTCTTATCAATTTTACAAGATAGATGGTATAAGTAGGACTTCCTGTTCCACCAGTTTTTGTTTTTTCTTTTTCCCCCCCCCCCCCCCCCCGCAACCCCCCAGCCATGCTAAGCATTCAGCTCTGCAGGGTTTGCTCTCTCTGTCTTTGGAAAGTGATCAAGGCAGGGCCCATCATGGTAATGAGTTCAGTACCATCTTCCTGAAGAGGCCTGTGGACAAAGGGGAGTTTAGAGAAATGCAGGAAATGAGATCTGAAGAGTGAGCAGGGGTATAGCCATGAAGTCTGCTCCTCACTCATGTTTCCACTTGTGGTTCATAGAGGACCACACTTCCTGACCCAGACATGATGCTGGGCAGCCTTGTGACAGGTCCTGGCCAATAAATGAAGCCCAGAAACCACATGTAGTCCTTGAGGGCTAGATGACTTAATTTGGTGAGACTTCACAAGAGCCCCTGCTTCTCAGGCCTAGCAAACAGCATCATGCCAGAACAGTGATTCTCAACCTGTGGGTCTCGACCCCTTTGTAGGGGGTTGAATGATCCTTTCACAGGCATCGCCTAAGACCATTGGAAGAGACAGATATTTACAATTTATAACAGTAGCAAAATTGCAGCTATGAAGAAGCAACGAAACAATTTTATGGTTGGGGCTCACCACAACGTGAAGAACTATGTTAAAGGCTGCAGCATTAGGAAGGCTGAGAACCACTCTTCTGGAAGGTGCTGCTTTGCCTTCATCTGTGAAACATATCCCAGGTGTAACTCTTCTGACCACCCATAGTAGATAACTAGCAGACAGAGGTGTAACCCAGTTGCTTTAAGCCACTAAAGGTAGGGATTCTCTGTCATTGCTTATACAACTTTGCCTGTCTTAGCAGATACATTGGGAAAACAGATCTGATATATTATTTCATGTGCTAGAGCTTGAACCCAGGACCTCATGCATGGTAGGCATGTACTCTATCACTGAGCTACATCCCAGCTCCTGAAGCCTGACTTTAGAGGCACTCTTCCTCCTTTGGCTCAGCATTGAAAAGATACAACCTTTTTCTTTTTCCACATCTTATCAGTTGACTGGCTTTTGTCTCGTCAGTATCTGTAAGGCAATGCAAGAAAAGGGGCAATAAGGTTCTGTTAGACTGGGGACAGGAACAAAGTGGTGGCTTCATTTGTAGTTGGTGACTTTACAGCTTGACATGCCCTCAGTGCGAATGTGCTGAGGACAAGTGTCACAGATCATTGCCACAGGCCATGATTATTTATATACAAGAGAGGGCTCTTTCTTAACTTCCTAGTTCAAGAGAACATTAGCTCTTCCTCTGTGGCTTCTGTGCACTGTGCACCAGTCACTGTATAGGACACCAGAGACGGGTGGAGGGAGAGGAAGACAACTGATCCTTCAGGAGAGAGCTCTGTCTACAGGGCACAGTGGCTGGAGGTGGGGGTGTGGTGAATCTAGAGCTCACAATGCAGAGGAGAGAAGAGGGAACTCCAGTGAGAAGTTAGAGGACACATCCTGTCACTGTCAGAGCCATACTGTATGTAGGGGCAATCCCAGATTTTGAGGATGCAAGCACAGATGCTTGGCAAGGCCACACATTCCATAGTCCACAGTCCATACATAGTTCATAGTCCACACAGTCCATAGTCCACAGTCCATACAAAGTCCATAGTCCACACAGTCCATAGTCCAAAGTCTATAGTCCACATAGTCCATAGTCCACAGTCCATAGTCCATAGTCCACAGTCCATAGTCCACACAGTTCATAGTCCCCATAGTCCATAGTCCATAGTTCACATAGTCCATAGTCCACATAGTCCATAGTCCACACAGTTCATAGTCCCCATAGTCCATAGTCCACAGTCCACATAGTCCATAGTCCACATAGTCCATAGTCTCCATAGTTCACATAGTCCATAGTCCACATAGTCCATAGTCCACACAGTCCACATAGTCCATAGTCCACAGTCCACAGCCCACAGTCCATAGTCCAACTCAAGCTTTCCAAACCCAAAAGGAATAATTTCTTACTTTTTACTTGGACATGCAACTTCACAAACTGGCTTATTGTGAATGTCCAGACTTGGCAGTGTGTTCTTTTCTGCCCCAGGAGGAAGAACAGGGGAATGAAATGCATGTTAAACCTTTCTTTGCTGTACTTAGAAAAAAAAAAAAAATCCAAAACAGGTGTTAAAGAAGACCCTGGGGCACCAGTGCCCCTGCAGGCACTGTCTTGGACATGCCCCTGCAAGGAGCCCATTCTCCTCCCACCCCACTTGGTGGAGAGGGGTACTGGGTCTATTCCTCCCATCATATGGGGGGACTCCCTAGAGAGTTGCTTCTATCGGAACATGACTAGTTTGTCTACCTTCAGCAAGCAACTCATTCATAAAAGAGGACAAATGAACACAGTACCGACTGGCTGCTCGTACCTCGCTGTAATTGACTGTCTTTTGTAATCACAGGGAGGTTGCTGACTTTCTCTGCTGGGGTGGGGGTGGGGGCTTCAGGACAACTGGAGGCTGCGTTTCTGTATGCTTGTATCAGAAAGCAAGTTGTGTGTCTGTCAAATCTGAGGGGAGGATAAGGCCCATTACACTCAGCTTCGACAAGAATTTATCAATGCCTCTGTGAAGAGATATATTGGAAGGTACAATGTCTTATTTTTATTATGAATCATGTTAGTACTGTAAATTTAATGATAAGTCACAAAAGTCAGGCTTTACAATAACATTGTTTTCCTGGCATTAAAGTGATCTTACCATTGACCTGCATGCACCTTATCGATCCACGGCCACCTAACCACATGGAGCTGAACATTTTAAAACATTTTACACAATGCAGGAAAGCAGCGCCATCTTTCTCTCTACCTGCCAAGGCTAAGCTGCCTCCCCACACTTTGTTGGACTTTTAGGGGCGTCTTTTCACACCCGCCCAACTGATTCTTAATCACTTCGGATACACTCCAGGAAGCTCTTTCCGTTGGTGAAACAGTTTTGGAACCCACAAATCCTTTTTTCCTCGAGGGGTGCGTGTGAGGGCGCGTGTCCGGAAGGCGCAGCTGTCGCCAGACTCTGGAATGCTGTGCCGTTTTTCCCTAACCTTGACTTTAGGTACGCTCTCTCTAACCTCTTAGCAAAAGCAGCCCTCAAAATGAGCTGTCCTTTGGGGGGGGGGGGGGGGGAAGAAGGAAAGCAGAGGCCTAGTTTTGGTCATCGTGAAAAGGGCACTTGCTCTCAGCAGAGCTTGGGGCAACTTCCCCTACTAAATCGTCCAGGGATTTTCGCGTGTCACAGAGCCCCCGTTCGCCACAGCCACCTAACGTGCTTCTCGCCACTCGTCTTCCCATACGAGAGAATGGGTGGCAGCACTAAGGTGATCTTATTCGTATTTCCCCCTCCAGGTTTTGTCATGGAAACGTTCACACCACCTCGAGACGGCGGCCCAGCTCCGCCCAGGGACTGAGGGCT